ACATTAATTTCAGAAGGTTTTAGTATTGTCCCTTTTGCTTTATTGACAGCACTTCCGGATGATCATGTTCTCCAGTCTGATTTGAGTCAAATGATCAATTACTTATTTGATTGGAGTGTGGCGAATCTTAAATATTTATCTTTACTATAACATTTATTCATAATGTTTCTATGTTTACTTTTTTTGTTTATTTCCAGATTTAAATCCAATTTTTAATCCCAGATTGTCATCATAGTCTTTTAAACCTCAATGTATGTCCCACCATCCAGAGAATAAATACAGTGCTTTACCCCAACAGTATCCAGTACCCCCACAACCTCAACATATTTCTGGAAGGTTCTTTTTCCTGAGCAGGACTCCCAGAAGAGTCTCTTATGCTGTAAGTAATAGTGTTGGAGATTCTACTTTAAGCTGTGATTGGCTCCCCTGCTTGTCCAGGGGGACATAGTTTCCATTCCCACTTACTCTCTATCAAATCACTTTTATAAGCTTACAAAAAAGGAGAACTATGTCTAGAATCTCCTCAGTCTTCACATCTGGTCACCACGAGAGTAGTTCATTTCACCCACAGAGTAAAACGTGATTGGTTGCTGAGCTCTGAATCAGTGCCAAAACGGACTTTGGGGATTCATGAAACACAAAAGCACAGGCCTGAAACTCACTAGTACAGACACACCAAACGGTGCGCACCAAACCATAGGGCAGAGACTCATCCTTCATGGTGTTTTATTGTCCCTAAAACTGCATCCATCCCTGTATACATTGATTCATGCTCCAGAACTCGTGACTCTGTAAGTAAAATCTTTTCAAGACGTCACGCCATACTGCATTGATGGAATGGAATTAAAATATCTGAAAGCTTCACACATAGGAATGAAAATTATAGTGCCCTGGAGTTTCCTACCAAAATCTTTAAATACAGGTATGAACTCCTAACCTTGAGATTTAAAAAAAAAAAAAAAAAAAAAAAAAAAAAAAAGAAGAAAGAACTGTTGTACAAGGTTCAATGACAAATAAGAGTCTAAGGGACAAATCCAGTTGTGCCATTCATGTTGGATTCATATGGTTTTTCATGTTGGATTCATAACATTTTATTACATGACTCTAAAAATGTCATGTGGTGTAACCATCAACTAAAAAGTAGCATTTCCATACACCCTGAATACATCTGACACATTCATATTTTTAAAAAGGTTTTTAAATATATATATGCTTTTCAAGTAAAAGGAGTCACACCACATGACATTTTACAACATAAAACGGTAATTCCAATTTATTTCTTTTAATGAGGCCATTTTTTCTTTATAATGATATCAGGACAGCTATCACTCTGAAATGTTTTACTTTATGCCTAAAAAAAAGTAAAGAAAAGGAAAAAGATCTAACTTCAGAAATTACAAACATGTTCATTATAGAAGACGTAATCACTGTATGTATGAATTGCATTTTAAAGTTATTGTTTTTAATTAATAGATGTTAGTGAAAAATGCCAACTGTAAAGCATTCAGGATCAATTTGAAACACAAATTTCTGAAACCTCTAAATTATGAACGGGATCAAAACTTTGCTGAAAAACCTGTTGAACACAATCTACTACATACACTCTGTCATCTGAGAGAACATTAATACTTTTTAGTAACTTTTAGTACAATTCCAAAAATGTCCCCTTCTGATCTTGGTATGCAGACATACAACAGAGCTTGGATCATAAATGTAAGCAGTTAAATATAATCCTACAAGGAAATAATAATTGGGAGATATAAAGTGATAACTGACATTTATATGCATTTTATGTTAGTAGTCTGCAAAACTGTTATAAAGATCTTAAAAACACTTGCTTTTTTTTTTTTTTTTTTAATATATATATATTTTTTTTACTACGAATCAGAAAATAAATAATATTGACCAACGCAATCAACCAAAAGCAGCACAAATTAACTTCTGGTTAAACGTACAGTATGCGATTTTTTGGCCACCAGGGGTCACTCGTTTAAAATAATAACAAAAGACGTACTTTGATGACGTCGGGAAAGAGCGTGGGCTCACGGGAGTTGTTGTCGCTGTCAATGACAACCAGCTCAGCTCATGACATGACATCATCGTTTCACAAAATATACGGATATACGGCATCTCTCTGTAGATTTAGCTTGTCAAGAAGCTTTAAATGCAACGCCAATGTTTACCTGTGTTATGCTTCTCCTGTCCCAAACCCTTCTCGGGTCATATTTTTCGGGTACGTTTGAGCTTTAGCTAATGAGCTAGCAGCAGAACATGCAGGCAAAGCGTAATCGTGGTCCATAACTATATTACAGACGAATATAAATATTAATATTACGCTCCTTCAATGAATGACCTATTTTAGAACATTTTTCATATATAGGGCGCACCGGATTATAAAGCACATAAGATACTGCAGTCAAACGTTTGACTGGGTTTGCGTTATGCATCCACTATGTGCTAAAGGCTAAAGGGAATGTAGTGAGTGCGCGGCGCCGGAGGTGAGGCGTTTATTTAGTAAGCATGAGTGCGCTGAAGCGGGCACGTACATTCGCAGTCTGACTCATAATGAGTATTAATGTGCGCGGCTCCCTAACAGGAACAGTTGGCTGTTTTGAATGAGACGACACGGTTACTGTGAACGGGGAGCGCTTTATGCGTGAGCAGCACCGGGGACAGTGTGTCTGTTAAGAGTGAGCGCTCGTGAGCGGGCACGTGACTTACACACAAAAAAATACGTACTACTTTTTTTTCTTCGTCATTTTCTTTGCTTTAATGGCGGTAGTCCAGTGTTCCCCTTTGTGTTTGGCGGTTTCGCCGGGTTCCGCAAGGAAGTTAGAGAAAATAGAGGAGTCAAAGGTTATATGACGCCATAGACGGGCGACGAAACGGAAATAAAGAAACGTCCCGTGTCTTCGAATTAAACTATAAATTTCTCCGTATTTGAAAGTTGGTGGAAACTGTCGGGATAATGTATAAATTACATATTGTGGCTTTAAAGACCAGTGCTTAAAATACTTTTTTGGTAGTTAAATATTGCTGCAAGTACCAGTAAATTGACTAGCGCAAACCTTAGTAAATCACGTTGCATGATTCATTAAACATTCTCCTATAAATTTTGCGTCTGAAAGGGAAACTCCAACAAATGCATATGCAATTAGGTCAGATGAACAAAGAACTGTATGCCTCCTTTTTCAGAGCTAATGTTTCACTGGGTGTCTTTAGTAAATCTTGACACTAGTTTTTTTTTTTTTTTTTAACCCATTTAATCCCAAATTTTTCCCAGACACAAAAATATCCAAATCATGTCTCATTAGTATCCCCTTTAAACAATCAATTATAATGTTTCGAAATTTTCATGGAAAAGTGTGTGAAAAAAGTGAGTTTGTATGATCGGTCACAATTGTGACCGGTGGGATACTGTGTTGTATCAACCATTGGACAGACTGAATATAGGTCTATTTGACCTGTGCAGTGTGCGTCTGTGCGTGTGTGGGGGGGTGTGTAGTGTGCGTGTGGGGTGTGTGTGGGGTGTGTGCGTGCTTGAATGTGGTGTGTGCGTATGGTTAAGATGTGCAGTGTGCGTGGGGTGTGCGTATGTGTGGGGTGTTTGTGGTGTTCATGTGGTGGGGTGTGTGGCATGCGTGTGTGTGGTGTGCGTGTCGGGTGTGTGTGGTGTGCGTGTGGGGTATGTGATGTGAGTGTGTGGGGTGTGGTGTGCGGGTATGTGATGTGCATGTGTGTGGTGTGTGTGGCATGCGTGGGGTGTGTGGTGTGTGTGTGTGGGTGGAGTGCGTGGTGTGTGTGATGTGTGAGTGTGTGTGTTTCTGTGTATTTGTCTGTATGTAAAATTAGGTAGAAAGTTAGGTAGCAGCAGAAAGTAAGGTAGAACAGTTAGCCTTTGTGTATTAGCATGTAGATACAATGTGTTATCCCACCGGTCACTGTTGTTGCCGTTGACATGTTTTTGAGTTCTATGAACATATTAAACAAAGTTAAGTAATTGCAAATGCATATCAATACTAGACACCCTAAACATGATGCGTACCAAAAATCTATGTCCTTTCTTTATGTTAAAGGGGTGGTTTACTGCTTTTTTTCTTTGCATGATTGTGTTTATGGGGTGCAATATAACATGTATTCATGTTTTTTCTTTTTTTAAAAGTCTTATTTTTCATAAATTTCACCTTTATCGTAAGCCGAGTTCTCCTCTGCTGTTAATAAATCTGGCCCATAGCCTAATATTTGGTAGCCTGGATGCCAGCCCGAACTCCGCCCACAACATTTTTTGGTCGGGAAGTTCGGTCTGGACTCGATCCATTGAGGAGTAATTATGATCAGGCAAAAACGTTCGGGCCAATCAAATTGCCAGGGCGGGCTTTATATGATGACGGACAGATGATCTGCAAGGACGTAATCATCACGTTATCAAAGAGTGCTTAACTGGTTTCCCTCAAAGATGACTGAATTGAGATGTATAGATTCTGCTGTCGCTTCTGTTGTGAAATAAATCGACAGTGCATTAATTTTAATAGACAAACAGAACTGCAATTAAGGCATTTGTCGATCAGAAAGATATTTTTGCCATCCTTCCTACATGATTCGGCAAAAGTGTAACTTATCAGCTGGCTCTGACGGTCGCTAAGAAGATGGGACGTAATGAAAAGCCTGTGGTCGTTGTGGTTTCTCCTTTGGTCGCACTCATGGAGGACCAAGTAAAAGAAGCAACACTCGTTATTTAACTTCTACAGTAAGTAAGTTCTGTTGTTGAAAACTGCGCTATGCAAAGGAGTTGACTTACTGCGTTGCTCTGATTGGTTGTAGGTCTATTGACTATCGAATTGAGTGCAGAGTTTTTTTCAGACTCATATTCCGACAAGAATATGAGTATGACGAAGTCAGGCTAAATATTTGCATGATGCATAATATAACTAACTCATATTATGCAATATTCTGTGTTCACTGAATAGGTTTGAAATAGCAAACCTAGGTTTGTGAATTACCTGAGGGGTGACGCAGGATTAAAGCAGGTCTTCGTGACATCAGTGGTGTTAGGGTTGCAGCAGTCCCCATGATCGTAATAGAAATTGTCCAAGTTACACTCTGGGTCACAAACCCCATTCCCCTGCTTGTATTCGGGACAGCGAGCGATTTGCCTCTTACAGTATCCGGCATCGAATCCCGTAAGTGTGTGGTTACATTCTGGATCACACTCTTCATCACCCACTTTGCTGATATCACAGTTGGCCAGTATTAGGCGGTTACGTAAGGACGAGTTGTAGACGTTGTGAATGGTTCGCTCCCAGGAAATGTTGTAGACGCGGAAAGCGTTGTTCAAGTGCTGGTGCTGAAGGTTGATCTGGTGTTCGGTAATCGTCGGCCAGTGTCCGTCATCATCGTAAACGTTTATCACTCGATAGCGCACAGTCTTGGGCTTGCGAAAGCTCCAGAGCTGGTAGTAGTTTGTAATCACCTCCACGTTGTCACACACGGTCTGTCCGCAAGGTGGAGGTTTCAGTGCGGTGTCACTGAGGTCACCAGCTAGGCTTCGGTCTGAGTGCTCCAACCGGGGGAAGTTACCATCTTTCACCGTGAGCCACCTTCTTGACATGTTCTCAAAGTTCTCATGGATGACTAGTTGAGAGAGGTCACCAAACTGACCCAAACGGTGATCCATGTATCTAATGATCTCACGTTGAGTCAGAGCCCGATGCCACAAGCTCAAGCGTTCCATTGTACCCCTATAGTTGTGGTTCAGCGCATTGCCACCGATCATTAGCACCTTGCACTTCTTGGTAAGTGGGCTGAAAATCTCACCGGATTGGTCTCGGCTTACAGCAACCTGCGCCCCGTTAACGTACAGCTTCATAAAGAGACCGTTGTAGGTCACTGCAACATGTGACCATTGGTTAGGAGTGTAAGGTACATTGGAGGTAATCGTGGTGAGCTTGTGGGCGCGGTCTGTCTTGAGGGAGAAGAAGAAGCGAGGGTCACGGTTGGCTTGGTCACTGACTGCTTTGATGCCAAACAACCATCCTCTATCACTGGACGTGTAGAAACATTTATCATACAGACCTGCAATAAAATGACATGCATTAGATTCATGAATAAGCAGATTAAGTACAATGGGGTCCAAAATAAATTTCAGTTTTTAATTTAACGCATGTCCTATATCATCAGCAAAACTATTTGAGTGAAATGGGAAAATAAACAAAGATTTCAGAATGTCTCATTAATTCTTTTGTTTCTTATGCTTTAATGACAGTACTCAAGCTGCATGAACTCCACAAGTTTGTGTAAAACCTGATCATGTTCTCCAGCATGATTTAACCCTTGTGTGGTGTTCATATTTTTGTTATTCAGCCAGTGTTCGTGGGTCTGGTGGACCCACTGCATTTTGGGGTTTTTAATTCAACACAATCAAACAATTTTATGTTAAAATACTCAACAGATGTTTCCTTCATCCCACAAGCAATATAAACAGCATATATGGTTAATATTTTCTATTTTCCTTTGTTAGATCACATTTAAAAATTAATGTCAGGGGGTAAAATGTGCAGGAATGTGAGAGCAGACGGTGGACGTGCTTAAATTTTGCAGCAATGTTGTGACCTTTTGTGGGAACGGCAGGTGCAGAACTCTCACACACACACACTGACAGGAGGAGGATAGAGTAAAGGTACACAGGACCTACAGTTTCCACACTTTTATTAACCTCGGGTCCAGTGGACCTGAACATCCTGTGTGTAATGTAAATGTGTAGGGGGGATGTACAGTGTGTTTTCATTGAAAATGTGTGATATATATTCTTCACATAAAATGAGCCAAGGCCAATGAGTCTGAGTTTGAAAAATAATTTTTCTTTTGTTAAAAAATGAAAACGGGTCCAACAGACCCGAACACCATAGAAGGGTTAAGATGGATCCAAAGACATCTTGAGCTTCAATAGTCACGAGTCATGATCAATGCCAATAATTTGATTAGTAAGTGACCTAAAAATAGAGCAGAATTTTACATAATTAGTAGAAATTTTCATCATTTTGTTACTTTATTTCAAAATTTGTTTGCAATTTGTTTACACTTTTGTTAAAAAATTTGGGGTCAGTAAGATTTTTAAATTGTTTTTCAAATACACCTATTCTCACCGAGTTTGCATTTGATAAAACATAGAGAAACAAAATAGTAATATTGTGAAATATTTTTTCATTTTAAAATAACTATTTTCTTCCCTTAAATCTCACCGTCCCACAGGTGGGACGCTTGCAATTATATATGAAGAGTTCAGATGCAAAAGCCTCTAAGTGCCATTTGAAATTTTCTTCTAAAATGATAATTTTTATCAAGCTTGTATATTTAAGTTCAGTAATTTCACTTAAATGGCAATGAAGATTACCTATTAATTGTCATTTAAGTGAAATTACTGAACTCAAATATACAAGCTTGATAAAAATGGTCATTTTAGAAGAAAATTTCAAATGGCATTTAGAGGCTTTTGCATCTGAACTCTTCATATAAAACAATAATATCTTAGAAAAGACCTGAAGTAATATTGACACTCTATATATCATTTGAAAGCTTACAATCTCTAGTTTCCATATTTGGTGACCGATTTTCAAAATAAATTACACATGAGCCGTAATTTATCCATTTGCAACCAGAATATGTTCATACTCATAAAGCGTGTTCATACCTTTATTTTGAAATGGCAATGAACATGAAAAAATCATGAAAAAAGGTAGAAACTTCAGTTTGTTTTATTGCCAAGAGTTCAAATGATTGCATCCATTCAATTATTTTAGAAGAAAAAGGTCTGACAATGTTTTAAATATAAAGAAAAAAAATATAAATTCACCATTTGTGATGTGGCAGGAAGCTATAATGCACATGCGTGTTCTTTGTATGTTTCTTAGAGGTTGAATTCATATCAAAATCTGCCAAACTTCCAATTCTACTTCTGAATAGAATCTCTAGGTCATAAATTGTATGAAAATTGTGTAAATCACGGTTCAGATCACACAAAACACATATGGAAATGGAGGCACCCTTATATGGGCAGTATTGGAGTCTGGTTCTCACCTAGTGAAAAAGTTTGGTACTGCACCCAAACAAAATCTCACTTAAAGCTCATTTTTTGAGAAATCTACCAAAATATTTTAAACACAACTTGTTCAGATTTTTGGCTTTGATTTTTTCTGCAGTTTTCTGCAGACGAGAAACCCATGTTTTGAAAATATATATTTTATATAAAATATGAATAATAATTTTTTTTACATTGTACATTTCCATAAACTCAAACTTCTATAACTTTTTTTTCTGTTTCACTTTCTTAATTTATTTCACTTCGACAAAAATCTGCCAAATGTCTTCTTTAAAACAAGACCAATTTTACGTCTATATTCCAAACCATTCTTGAATTACAATCTATTGTATCATTACTCAAGTCTTCAGTGTTACATGACTCTTCACTCTTCAGAAATCATTCTAATTTACTAATTTGTTCTCAAGAAACATTTCTTATAATTATCAATGTTGAAAACAACTGCTTAATAATTTTGTGGAACATTTTTTTCAGGATTCTTTAAACATTAAAAAGTACAGAATTTATTTGAAATATAAATGTTTGTAACAAATTAAAAGTATTTACTGTTACTTTGACCAATTGAATGCATGCTTACTGAATAAAAGTATCAATGTTTTTCCAATTTGTTTAAATATTTAAAAATTGTCATTCCCTAAATACTAAAACTTTCTATTTAGATTTAATTTAGCTTTTCAATTGCATGTTCTATTAGACTTGTATCTTTTATCAGTACTGGTATTTCAAGAGACACAATTAGCAGATATTGATTTTAGTAGAGAGGTTAAGCGACTTTTGACTTCAAGTCATGATGCAAAGGTCCCCTTTGGTATGGAAGTACCTTATGGCCATAGAAATAAATTTATCCTATAAGACACAAGTGAGATCACATTTTGTTTCTTATATACGCACATTTTTTTTTTTTAAATGGCCACCAATCATACTTGAGAGGCCCATATCTTTGCTTCTGTTATAGCTATAATGACAAATTTGGTATTAACGTGTACATTTTTGTGGTCAACGAGTCCAATAAAGTAGGTTCCAAGACTAGAAAACAATAATGTTGTCCTTACCATGACATTTGAAGGTGAAGTATGCAATTTCTTATAAAAAAAGCATGCCAAAGACACAGTCCATTCACAACTTAAAGGGATAGTTTACTTTGAAATTAATTTTTGATATGTTTTGGCTTACCTCAAGGGCATCCAAGATGTAGGTGTCTTTGTTTCCACAGTAGTTTCAATTTTGATATTTCTAGGTCAAACCGTTTGAGTCTATCAGTCATATAATGGAGGTCTATGGGGTCCACCTCAAAGAGCAAGAACATAGAAGTCCAAATTAAATATGATTAAATGACTCGTAAATGTAGTGATGGCCCAAGACATGAAACGAGTTTCTTGTGTGAGAAAACGAACAGTATTTATATTGTTTTACCTCTTGTAACCACAGCCACGTCCAAGTGATCTGAGGGCGCAGGCGCTTTGGCTGTGGTAACAAGAGGTAAAAACAATATAAATACTGTTCGTTTTCTCACACAAACCGCTCATTTCGTGTCATTTACGAGTCATTGAATCATGTTTAAATTGGACTCTCTGTGCATACTCTTTGAGGTTGACCCCATAGACCTCCATTATATGACTGATAGACACAAACGGTTTGACCCAAAAAATATAAAAAATTGAAACTACTGCGGAAATAAAAACACCTACATCTTGGATGCACTTGAGGTAAGCTAAAACATTTCAAAAATTAATTTCAAAGTGAACTATCCCTTTTCTGCTTCGCCTTTACAGCACTGGCTGAAGATGCGGGTCCCTTGCGGTTCTTTCTTCCCCCTCTAAAGGGCTACCATGTCCTTGTCCGCACGGACAACATGTCGGTGGTTTCCTACATAAATCGCCAGGGCGGTCTGAGATCATGGAACCTTCATGCACTGGCAGAACACCTGCTTGTATGTGTTCAGAGCAACATACTCTCGTTGAAAGCGGCGTGTGTGCCAGGCCATCTGAATGTGGGTCCAGACAAGCTGTCCAGAGACAACGTTTCTCCCAGGGGAATGGTCTTTCCACCCACAGACAGTTCAGTTGTTGTGGGACACCTTTGGTACAGCAGAAGTCGGCCTATTTGCGTCTCAAGACAACGTTCAGTGTCCAATATGCTTCACAAAGAACAAGGACGCGCTGGCCCATCACTGGCCCAGCAGCTGGGTTACCACAGGTTACCACATGGTTCCTCTGTGCTTCTAGTAGCACCGTTCTGGCCAAACCAAGTTTGGTTTCCGGAGCTGATACAGCTTCAGAGCTTGGCTGCGTGGCCTGTCCCGTTGAGGAGAGATCTCCTCTCACAGAGGGGACGATTAATACCAAACGAGGTATTTACAGCACAAAACCTAAGCAAGGCAAGTCTGAGATTTGGACTACTATTCATCTTCCTGATCAGTGCGTCAGAATACATGCAGGCCAGGGTAACGAAAAAACAACGCCATGATTATCTTAATAATAGCAATACAAATACGTGTTTTTTCCTGTGGGATGGGAGAAGTCACAAAATCAATGCATCTCTATTATTGTGCGGGAATAAATTCTCAGAGTTTTGCGGGTGCAGACGGGAGTGGACATACATATTGCGGGAGCGGGTGGGAGTGGAGCACATACGTTGCGGGAGCAGGCGGTAATGGTCAGAAATTCAGTGGGCGCGGACGGGATGAAGAAAACAGTCCAGCTCAGGGCTCTACCGCAGAGCATCCAATAGGCGCGCAAGCTGCCTCACCTAGGTCTGCTAGCTGCAGCAAGTGCATTTAAATGAATACAAATTATAAGGATAATTTTTGCCTTCAGTATTCTCGAGAAGAGGTTTTCCCTCTAAGGTTTTTTTTTTTTTTTCCATAGTCAACTATCTAGCTAGTTATTAGTTGTCTAACATTAAAAACATTTTTCTATTTAACAAGAAAGTCATACGAACCTTAAAGTGTTAACCTGTCACCTCTGACCTTCAACAGCTGTCACAGCTCCTGGTGAAGATGGGATGTGTTTTTGCAGGAACTGATTTGCTATAGGCTACTCCTGACTGGTCGAAATCTCATGCTACTTAGGAAAAATGTACAGAAGTAGCTGCACTGCTTAAATACAAAATTAAAGTTTTTAATTGAAAAGATTTGTAAAGTCACACTGATGACATAATTTGTATGTGAAATGTGCATTTTTACCCCCAATTGTCATTGTATGGGGAAAATCATTATTTTTTTTAAACTTGAAACCAATTTCATTGGATTCCTTGACCCCAAAAATGTACACTTTGACACTAAATTTGTCATTATAGCGATAACAGAAGGAAATATATGGGCTCTAGAGTATTTTCGGCGCATTGGCGGCCATTTTTGAAAAAAAACATGTTTATTTCTGATACAAAGTGTGATCTCACTTGTGTCTTAGGATAAATTTATTTGTATGACCCTAAGGTACTTCCATACCAAAGGAGATCTTTGCCTAATGACTTGAAGTCAAAGGCCTATTTTTGGGGCTTAACCTCCCTACTATTCTCCTGAAGTATAATAAAAAGGTGAACAGTAGTAATTCAGCAAACTGACTGACGCAACAACACGTAAGTTACCGCAGCCTGATGCGGAGAGTGACGAAAAAAAGACGTGTTTGTCCAAAAAAGTGGGGAACACAAAGTAGTTCCCATGATCAAATCGTTGCAACAGTCCAGTCCCAGGGATACAGGCCTACGAGGAAGCATCTGCTAGCAATCAGGCCCAGACAGTGTGGTCTTGTATCAACAGAGCAAAGGTTACTTGAATTTTCAGTCTATTTTCTTGAAATGTGCCTCAACAGTAGGGATGTTTGAAATCAAAAATTGTCCTTTTTTCGCCACAGTCCGTATTATGATTGGGGCTCTAAAAACCCTTTCTTCCTGTTTCATTTGGAAACCATATGCTCAGCTCCAGAAGGAAACGTAATCTTAAATTTAATGGGTACGGGTCCTTCATAATCACCCAGAGTGCGTAAAAGAGGATTTCATTTAAATCATTGTACTTCAACACTGCAGAAATCAGATACAGTGCATCTTCTAAAATTTTTACTGGATCATTTTTATTGTAACCAGAAAGCCCTATCCACACAGCAGTGCTGCTTAATCCAGTAAGTTTGCTGAGCAATGAAACCTGAAGTCAAAGACAGAAAGTGAAGATCTAGTGACCCTCATTAAGTCTTCTGCATGAGGAAATCTCCCATCTCCCACAGTGGTGTTTGTTAGAGGTAATTGGTGAAACTCAGTTAGGGCGAATAAGCAGTAAAGCGTTGCCAGGGTTGCAGAGGAAAATATAACTATACCACATTACTGCTTCAGTACACACAATATGTAACATAACTCCAAATTTGCACATGCTTCTGCAACAGGGAAATGCATTTGGACGGAACTGCTTAAAACCCCTTAAGAGAAGCTGGAAGCAAGAGGATCTTTGACCACTAGGATTGACCACTTTAAAGAGATGATTCATTCGGTAGCGCCTTACTAAAGAGCAGACAGGAGCATGTAGTTCCCTCTCACTTCTAGGCTGCCAGCAGAACCACTGCCAGCATCTATAAAAATAAATTGTGCCATAAAACTGAGGAAATTACAATCTGTGAAATCCTGGATTGAGACCACTAAGTGGGAAATAACAAACAGGTACGATTCTTGCCAGCCCTGAACTTTAGACATGCAAGGGGCTCAGTGTAGGGAGAGGGATGGGGGTTCATTGAATGGATGGATGGACACTCTAGAGAATGCTAATTTTATATTTATCACCATAGAGATGTCCCTAAAAACAACCGTCCGGAGCTTTAAATAGTTTAAATAAATTGCATTAAATACTAAATAGAGTGGAGTCCTAAAAAAGTCCTTCACACAAATATAATGTTGTTTGCTTGCATTAACTTTATGAAATCAATCCAGTCGTTGAACTAAGTACATGCTGAAGTTGAAAAATGTCATTTTGAAAATGAATGCAGTTGGCTCCTTGTGCCGAATATGACGTACCTTGTAATCCTTTCCAATATTTCATGAAAGCATCCATTTTGAGTTCATTCAATCTCAGTATCCAGCACCATGGACAGAGCACTACAAAGTGAGCATTACGAAATGAAAGACACAAGCGCAGCAACTGTTTAGAAAAGTTTATATACACCTGTTCTTTCTATGGACCTTTATTAAAACATCTAAGTCTATAATTTATAGACTTTATAGACTAATTTACAATTTTTAGACTAGTTTTCAGTTGACTATGGGGTCAGTATATCCTTCTAAAGTAAAATAAACAAAATAGACTTTTTTTATTATATTTTACCTCATGCATTATAATTAGGGCCAACTGTTATTTATCAGTGCACATGCATGATTATATATATATATATATATATATATATATATAGTTGTATTATATACATTAATTCACATCTTATTAACCTCCTAAATGATCTTACATTACAGAAACTTAAAGTTCCTGTTAACAACGACATCAGCCAAACATAAATCATCCTGTTTGGTAACATGATAATTGAATATTTAAATTTTTATGGCCATCATTACAAACCTCTAAGTGGTGCTATTGACAGTTTTATGAGGTGCTTATTAATTTATTGTAATGTGCCATAAAATATCCCATCCCACTGTGTACTACAAGACCTCAAAGACAACAATAAAAGAAAAAGTTAAGTGTAAACATTTCTACTTAAAATCAGACTGCGTAAAATTTCAGATGAACAGTTGCCGCCACCTAACATCAGCAGACATGCTGTAAAACTTCTAGTAAAAAGGCATCTGTCTGAGAATAGGCTCAGTGCCTCTCTGTGTGCTCTGCGTTCTTGCGTCTGAGGATCTGATTTACTGCACTGCCGAGTCTATTCCATGATGTTTTGTGGCAAGGTCTGTAATATCTTTACAAGAAGCAGCAATAACAAAACCACTTGAAGAAAGGATGGACAAGGCACTAATTTTATAGCTTCCCCCATCTGGACTGACACTTAAAGCATTCCCTTCTCTTATTCATATACCTGAGACTCCAAATTACAAAAAAAAAGCACATGTGAGGGTTAAAACCTGACAGTCAGCATGAGGGCCACAACTTAGTTGCATGGGCCACAAACATTTAATGCTTTGTTTAAAGCAAAATTTGCTGAACATCTGTATTTGATGCACAGTAGGAGAAGCTATATAAACTCTGCCAGCGCCCCCTCGTTGCTTCTTAATGTTACTGTGACTATAAGGAGATCATTGTGAGGACAGAGGAGTGGACTAATTTTAGATGACTCACTGACAAGATGTATTCAATCAATCCATTAATATGCAGCTCTCTTGAGATATAAAGATTATTTAAAGACAATGTACCCAACTGTATGTAATAACATTCATTTTCAGTGTCCTGAGTCAATGATTTGCAATTTAAATAATGCATCTTGAAATCTACCACTGAATTGCATGTATGTCTCTTTAACAAAAAGAAAAAAAAATATTTAATTATTTATAGAATTTTAATCTTGTAATGTTTAAAAAAAATAATAATAATTAAATAAGTATAAACAGTGGCATTGTAGAGAAACTATTAGAGACCAGGATGCCTGTTAATTGCAGCCAACATTAATAGATTGCATCTATTAATTTACATACATTTTCAACAACTACACGTGGCTTTGCTTTATATTTAGACTTTTAGTGACCACCAAGCATTTTAGAGATAATTAAAATTATTTGATGTGTGACATTACGCTACATTTTCGTTTATGTTCTCACAAAACTGCGTGCTAAAGGGGTTCATAAACCGACTCCACGGGTATTACGCTCTCTGTTGGCTGTAGAAGGGATGAGGGGGTTTGGGGGGGGGGGGGGGGGGAGAGAGAAATCACATAGATTTGTTTGAATAAAAAATAAATAAAATACAACCGAGCAAACACGCCCACCTACTCCATTCTCATAATGCGTAATGTGCTTATGTAGATATTTTTCAAGAAAAAATAAACGTATAATTTTGTCATTCGATTATTAAGCGCTTCGTTAGTGGGAAATACATACTTGAAAAACACATTTTTAAAATAAAACTCACAATTAAGAATAAGCCTACATTGTGCCTAAAGAAAAATAAGAATCCGCTGTAATGTCAGTTTGGTATATAGGGTGTAGTGCAGAGCAGCGCACGTAAGAAGCACAGACACAGTAGCCTATGCATCAAAGGGATGACGTATTTGTTTAAGCGATTTCTGACACAGACATTTAATCATACAGCATCATAGAGAAAAATCTACAGACTACGCCGCTATGCAATTTTCTCGAAGCCACTTTGCAGTTTTAAAGATGTAAAAAAAAAAAAAAAATGAAAAAAAAAAAAAAAATAAATAAACAAATGCAATTCTTAAAACGCAATTCGTAACAGACTTAAACACCAACCCAACATACTGGGGTATTGCAATTGCATTCTCTCGATATTACAACGAACCGTCCAGAGATTAATAACAAGAAACGCAATTTAAATCAGCAACGTTAAAACTATACAAGATGCTACCAAAAGTTGGGTGGTGATAACCTGCCAATCGCATGCAAAAACCCAAGAGAGTTTTTGTTAGTAAACAACAGAAAAGGCGCATCTTCATATGCCGTCTTTGGAGAGGTCAGTTATTGTGAAATATGGGCTTCATGCTCATAAATAGTATAAGTGATATAAATAAGTGTTAGTGGCAAGTGTTTATGCAACTGTTCGAAAGCTGGAGGTGATTTATGAAACGCAGGCATACAGTTACACTATGAAATTATGTCTGCAGTGAATAGAATGCAAGTCATAATTAAGCAAATCAAACCTCCGATAACAGCTGGAGAGCGCTGCCCACCCTCAGGTTTTATCCACATTTCCAGGGTGAAATTACCCCTTGGCACCTCTGCATTGGGTTTCAGACGCAGTTGGTCTCCTCGACCGGTAAAGTAAACAGTCCTCCGCCGACCTGGGCTGCTTTCCCCCGCCTGTGACAGGGGAGGGGAGCGCCGATCTATCCCGGGAAGTGAGCGTTTGCCCCGAGGCAGGCGTGTGGCACAAGCTCCTGGGAAGGTACTTCTGGCTTCCCTGATGCGTACCAAGTCTCTTTTAGACCTTGCAATTCGCCGTGGAGTCCCACACTCAGATCCCAAGCACACGATAAAAAGCAAAAGGCAAAGAAGCCAAGTGTAAATGGGCAAAAGTTTCATTTTCAAGTGGAGAGAAGAGATTTGTTTGTCAATGGATAGGGGATTTGATTATTTCAAAATACTAAATAGCGCTCGTCTTTGGAGATCTTTCCCGGTCTTTTGCTTTTACAAAAGCCTGTCAAGACGCGTATTCAACACCAACCAAGACGGCAATGCTGTCTTATTTTTTTCCTTTATAATGTTAAGCCACGACCCCCTTTCCTTGCCCCTTTCAAAGACACTTCAACACAGATTGAGGGGGGAAAGGAATATGTTAATTTATCCAAGTGCTCCACCTTCCCAATTGAATGGATCCCATTAAACTGCATGGATGACTGGGTAATCAATCAGTGTAGAGAGGTCAAAATCATTTCCCTTTCACTTTTTTCCTCATCCGCATTTCAAATAAACTTGGTAAAAACGCGTTTCTTAAACATATCACAGCATGCACAACTCTATACGCGTATACATGTGTGAGTATTTGAATGGGGTCACTTGGCAAGACCGCCCGGCATGAATTTCTTCTGAGGAATTCGCGTAGCCTAAATTGAAATGACACATTATATTCCCGGTCTTAATCGCCTCGTACGAAAGGAAATAAAAAGTATATGATTTGTCAAACGTAATAACATGTTTCAGGAAACTCGTCACACTGTTTTTATTTGGCCGAAGGGGCATAGCCTATAGTGCGAATAGCCGGGTTCATTCTGACAGGAGTCGAAGTATAACCTGCTCTGCTCGCTGTTGTGTTTCTCAGTGCACTGCATATCTGAACCGGGACGGTGTTTATATTTTGCGCACCGCTGCGTTGAGAACCCTCTAGCGGCTACAAGATGAACTCTCTCAATAAAACCAAAAAAAACAAAAAAAAAAACACACACACACACACACATACACACACACACAAATATGGTCAGGCACGTTAAATATTTTTATTGTTCTTTTCTTTGTCCACAACGACCTTTTAACGTGCGCAGCGCTGGCTGGGGAAATAGACTGAAGGGAAGACAAACACAGAGGCTGCTGATCGGGAGAACGAGAAGCTGACAAGATGATCAAGATCTCAAGAAAGGGATGCTTTTTGTGTGCATTATAAATATAAAGGCCTATGTGTGAATAAGCTGACACTAAGGGAAAAGAAGACATCCATCAAAATAATAATAATGGTAGGCTAAATATTATTGTGTTTTTTCTTTCTTTTTCTTTTCTTTCTCCGGGATGCCTTTTTGACCAGTCCCCAGTATATATGTTCTATTTACTTTCCCTATATATTTGGTATAATCAACAATTTATTTAAATAAATAAACACTATATGGAGGACAAGCACATTTCTTTTTTCCTTTTAATTAATTATATTTTTTTCTAAAAAAAAACAAAACTCCTTGTTGTGACCTTAAAAGACAAGGATAACAATGGATAAATGAACAATACAACTGTCTTGAACTCTCTTACTTAAAAAAAAAAAAAATATATATATATATATATATATATATATATCATAGCATTAACACTTAACACATAGTACATTCTTTGTCTGACTGAATAATTTAAATGTTTAACTTTTCTTAAGCATTTTGTGAAATGACATATGGATTTACAGACAAATTTAGGGATCATAGCGCTGATGAATAATAGGAAGTACATAGGAACAGACTGACAGATCTGAATTCATATGTGGCACCTAACAGAGCATTGAAGCATTTCCAGCCACAGTCCTGCAGCACCCTCTTATTGCTTTTCCTTATTGAATGTCAGCAGCAGAGGGAGCCTGGAAAATGACTAAATGCACTTCCTACATCGTCTGCTCCTGATCTCAGTGTTCTGGTTCTCTCAGCTGCAGAGGGACTCCTTGCAAACATGTGACGTCAATACTGCTGAATATCAATGGGCACTGGTGCTAAAGGACCAGCGGGAAACCTGGGGTGAGCCACTTTAGAGCCCCTCATTCGGCACGTTTTTACCTCAAAGTTACTTTCAACCATTCTTATTCAGCAGGATGTCCAAATCACTTTAAGCTCTTTGCTCAGGAAGGTTTTACAATGATACTCAAAAATACCTTATATCTTATCTCTTGAAATGGATGCAGCAACATTAAAAGGATCAGAAGGCACAGCACTGAATTACAAAGATATTTTGGGGGGGTGCATACAGTTAAGCACAATAAGTCCTGCCTAAATTATTACTTGTTACACTGTAAAAAAATTATATGATCAATAAGTTATGACAACATATGAAGAGTTCAGATGCAAAAGCCTCTAAGTGCCATTTGAAATTTTCTTCTAGAATGATCATTTTTATCAAGCTTGTATATTTAAGTTCAGTGATTTCACTTAAATGGCAATGATAATTACCTATTAATTCTTATTTAAGTGAAATTACTGAACTTAAATATACAAGTTTGATAAAAATCATCATTAAAGAAGAAAATTTCAAATGGCATTTAGAGGCTTTTGCATCTGAACTCTTCATATGTTCATGCACTTTTTATGTTATGCAAGATTAAACTAATTTTTTAAAGCCAGTTTAATGTAATTTAAGTTGAAATAACTTAAGCAAAATTGAAGGAAAAAACTTCTTTTTACCTTTCCAAACCTATTTTATAGTCCATCTCAATGGTTTCATAATTCTTTCATTTATTTTCCCTGCTATAACTGATCTTAGCGCAATATACTGGTTTTATACAGGGCAGAAAGACACTGCATTTATTGTTCATTATTTGCTTTTTAACATCAACAACAAATAAAGGGCAGCAGCAACAAATAAAAATAGTCAGCCCATTGTCATCCCAAAGTGTCATATACTGATTATTTGCCACTGCGTTTACATCCAACGCACATGGCACCCTTTAGCGTCAATATGAGACACAGATATAAATGGGCCAGAAGGCGCCTCCTAGTGGTCTAACCCTAACCCTACCCCAGACCAAAACCTACCCATACTCTGTGCATGTAATATTGACACTTAAAGTGTGTATGTCAGGTTAAATTTGTAATTATGATTAACACAAAATAGTTAGGGGAAAAGCACGTTTGTCAAGTTGGTGTATTGTTTTGTATGTTTTTCGATACCTAAAGGCAGAATATAAGATGAAAAAGTTCGTTATTTTCAGTACTCACATAAAACTGCTCCTCCCCCCAATCGAATCACTGATGTCATAAGAGGGAGACGTCTCCCCAGGTCGCTGAGAGTGAGTCAGTGAGCTGTGTTGGTAATTGTACGAATGATAAAGCGAGAGACTTATTTGATTAGGACATTTATTTATTTAGTTATTTAAGTTAGGTAGTTAGTTAGGTATATGCAGGAAATAGGTTTGCCAACCGCAATTAAACCCTGAAGAAGAAGAAGAAATGTATGCAGGCGTATTATCACGATGGTGAATTACTGCGTTTGTACTGGGTGCAAAAACACCGTTAAAACCGGTCACAGAGTCCACTTTTTGATGACAGCCGCGAGACTAGCTCTCAGAATATCAGCACTTCGGCAAACCTGACTGTGGCGAGGGGGCGTGAGTCTGTAGCGGCTGCGGGAGAGAAAGGACGGAGCCGCACGGTGAGATTAGTAGATCAAGTGCAGATGATGAACACCTGTGTTTGATTGCAGTAATTTTCCGTGGAGAGACCGGGGAATGAGAGAGAGTTGGACTGGGACTTCACGCGGCTACTGCAACCGAGACTGAGAAGCAAGTGTTGGATCGCGTGTTTGTTTATGGTGGCGAATGCGCTACTGTGCGCCTCGTTTCTTTTTTGTTTTTTTTCTGAATAAACGAGTCCCAGTCACGCCGACCCTGTCTTCTTTCCACATACTGAACCTCTTCACACTGACCTATAGGCTACCGCACATCTCTACCGCGTATCTAACAGTAGTTCCGCATTAATTAATTTGCACGCGAGTTTTATTTATTTCAACCCTGTATTCTCCGTGTATATTCATGCACCGAACCGTGACGGCCGTACGTTTCGGTTCAATACGAATACATGTACCGTTCCACCTCTTAAGTTATTGCCTATAGTTTACCAAGACACCTGACCAACTCTCCACTGGTTCTCTTCACACCAGATATTTATGTTTCTTCGATAGGAATTATTTAAATTTCTGTTTGGTTCCTCATCTGTCTCACGCCTGGGAGGCTCAAAATTGTAAGGCTGTGGGCCATCGTATAGGTTTGAGGGGGATTTTGGATCTTCTCAGACTCAAAACTCTCCATACTTGAATAGAACGTTTTTGTCACATCTCCCTGTTATGACATCACAGGCAGCTCCACTGTGTTTTAAAAATATGATCTTGACAGAAATGGCTATAAAACGTAATGTAGGGCAATTACAGTAATAATTTTAATGATAATTACATTTTCACTCAGACATCTAAACATTATTTAATATATCTAAAACAATTTTTTAACCTGACATACACACTTTAAAGGGGCCATGAACTGGCTTTTTAAATTTTATTATATTGTTGTCTGAGGTGAAATTATGACGTTCGCTTGGTTTTTGCATTCAAAAACATCAAAATGAATAAGTAATAAACTATTTTCTACCCTAGTTTTCACCCCAGCTCAGAAACGCTGGATTTTTATGGGCGTCTTGTACTGAAGACTTGGAAGTAAACGCCCTCTGCTGTGAGTGGATAACAGTTTTGCATATTATAATGAGTTTGAACTCACCTCGTTGGTGTACGTGGGGAAATTTGTTTTTGAAAACGTCCAATGTTGTAAAATGGCAACCGGAATGATTCACCCATACATGTTTGACCCAGCGTCCATGTGTTGCACAATTCCTGTCAGATCCAATATCGGCACACCACCGTTCTTTACTCTTAATCGGTCTGCAAATCCAGTCTTGTTTACAATCCTCAGTGAAATGAAGGGAACAGACTGTTTTACCTCATCAGCTGGAACGTCATGAAAAATAAAGTTCCCTTTCGTAGTCACTCCGAGTTACGTCGGAATGACGGAGAATGGGGGTTTCGCATAGAAGCCAATCCTCTTCGAGTATTTAAAAACGAGCCAATGGCATGAAAATGCCTTGGGTCTGCGTAATTTGCATAGCGTATCTCTGCCCCACC